TGCTGAATATTGTCATGAAAATGACATACATACCTATATGGACTTGAAGCTCAATATCTGATTTTTCAGTTCCCAAATTCTGATATTTATTTAACAAAGGCCATTTAAAAATGAATTAGTTAACTATAATTAATTCATTTTTATATTAACTTGTTGATAACAAGATTTAACTTTTCTTTCTTCTTTACTATAAAAAGAGTTCTCTTTGCTGGTGGTGTTTGATTTCATTTTCCATTTTAATTCAAATTGGTTAAAAAACACTAAAAATTAGTGGAATCAGACTTTGTTGTTCTCTATAGGAATTAGACCTCTGTGATATCCACTGTAGAAGAGTTAATTAGTATTCACAGGGGATGTGTTCAGAGTCAGGAGAACTGAGGTTATAGTATGCAGCATGTAAACTGTTTAGCTTGAAAAGCTGATCTTAGGAAAGAAAAGTTACATAATTGGTAAGGAAATGGCATTGTTCTTTTGAGTGTGAAAACATCTGCAGTAAGCATAGCCCTAGCTCAATAGGTTACAATAAATTCTCTAATAGTTAGCTGAATGGAGGTTTATTTAGACATAGCAACAAAGTCTAAGGAAGTTGATTTCTGTTTGATGTAAGTTACCTTATATCATGAAGGGCATTTATACACATACTTTTCTGTCCCTCAACACACTTTTGAGCAGACTCGATTAATTTAATCTGCTCTGCATGTGAGCCGAGGCGAACTGTGCCGTGCTGTATGCAGTTGTGTAAGTGGCAAAATGCATGTCAGCGAGCAGAAAATGGCAGTGGTGCACTTTTGAACTAAAGCACCTCTTACGTGTTTTAGCTCAAAAGCATATTGTTGCCATTCTCTCAGTGCTGACGTGCATTTCGCCGCTTATACAACTGCCAGTGTTGCAGCGCCGGGCGCTTTTCAAAGTGCCCAGTGCTGTGGCACTTGTACGTGTAAAAATGCGTGTAGAAAATAGGCTTATATAAACAGTCCTGCATGATTAGGATTACCATATGTTCAGGTTCTCCTAGACTTGTTCTCTTTTTGGGTCCTCCCATCTCTATCCGGACGTTTTTTTAAAATATCAATAAACACCCAAGACTTTGCTCTGAGAAGCATCAAAGCTTTTCTGAGAACTTCATGGTTTGCCCTTGCAAGTTGCTGCTTGGCTGGGGCGGGGAGCGGGGAGGAAGGCGATTGGAGGCAGGGGGCATCATGTGCCTCTGTGCATGTACATTCACATGGCTGGCATGCAGCCAGGCAGGGTGGTGAGAGCAGCTCTGGCAGCTGGATGCAGGCAAGTCTAAGGAGGGCAGGGGTTGGAGGGCCAGAGGGCATGGAGCTGCAGGTCACAAGTGAGTGGGACTGGCAGGGCTGTAAACAGTACTTTTCACTGTAAACTACATCCTAAAACTCAATAGAAATATGGTGGCCTGTTCAAAAAACAAACTGAAATATCTGTTGATGGCTGGGTGGTGTGTGAGTGTGTAAGAGAGAGAGAGAGAGACACGGGGGGGGCGGATATTAAAAAAATAACACAATATCTTTCCTAGTGCTGTTTTCAACCTTAATCTATGTAGTTCCTGCCTTTAAAACTCAAATTTTCAAGTGTTATAGTAAATAAAAAAGTACAAAATTACCGAACTAAATTAAGGAACTCAAGTTTTAGTCTGGCTAAGTAAGAGGAAGATATTTAACTCAAGATAAAAAATTAAAAGGCCACAGAATAAAACATACAATTTTTTTTTCTTGAAGCATGCAACTTTAGCAGTGAACTGTGAGTGCACAGACAAAAATGTTTCTTAGTTCCAAAAGCCCTTTGTACATGTTGCTGGTGGCGATTTCATCTGTTCTATAGAAATGGTAAACCTCTTATCAAAGAAATTAATGCTCTGGTTAGAAGTACGTGCAATAGTGAAACTACAGTTCTGGCAGGAAACACTAAACTCACTTCTACTAACATCAATGAACGTCAGTCATAAAAACAACGAACAATAAAAAAAAACAAGAGTTGAATGTGAAAATATTTAAATCAATAAAAAAAACCCTGAAAACAATATATTGTGATGGTCATATCTTCTTTATCCCAGCACAGTGTCTCAGTAAATATGGATGATTTTCATTATTTGTATTATATCATTATTTCTATACCCTGTGTTTTCTTCATGGACAGATACTATTCCCGCTATGTGGCAAGGAACTCCCACAACTCAAGGTAATGGGTTGAGTCTTTATAATAGTCTATTTAAAAAAGACAAAAAAGAATGCTGCTACCTTTTGGTCTCCCATAAATGTGATTTATCAGTCAGATACTCAAATCCTTCTGTAAAGGATCCAAAGCAGATTTACTTTTAAACAGTTTAAGGCAGTGATTATCCACCCTTTTCTGTGTCACTCAGATAAAACTATTAGAAAATTGCAAGCATGTGTTCCAGATGCACACTCTCTCCATGGCCAGTCCCTTGCTAGTTCACAACTCAACCAGCTACATTGCTACAGCTAAACATAAGCACTTCTTTGGTTCAAAATTATTTTCCCTGGCTGGCAGAGATTTGCATTTTAAGTTTTGACTTCACCTGAGTTTACATAGCATCAGATTCCAACAAAAAATAAGATTGCCTAAATCACATTTATAGTAGTACTGAAACACCAATCATTGTTAATTTGCAAGTTTGTTTACATGATGGAATATCAAACAGGCTATTACACATGCCAAAAAACAGTAAGCCTATCTGCTATACCACTAGTCAAGAAGTCTTTCCTGAAGCCAAAAGAACAAAAGCTTTGTAACAGCGTGAAAGTAGTGAAACAAGATAAACAATATTTGCTGGTATTACAAAAATTGCCAGCCTGCACCATAGGAAAAGCGGTCATTTGCACTGTACACAACAATATACCAAATAATTTCTCTCTTCACTATTCCAACTATTTCTTCCTGTGGCCAATCTCTTAGACAAAAAACGCAGAGAAAAATTCAATACTCTCATTTGTCTCTTGATACAATTCAAATGAAAAAGTGAAAACAATAGGTTGGAGAGTACCATGATGCTCTTTGGATTCTCTAAAGAGAGGTCATACAGTTCAATCATAAGGCAGCTTTTTTCTTGTGGCCTGTTTATCATACATCTATTATACCCTGGGCAAGTGATGTCCAAGGAATTAATTACCCACTCTGAGAAGAATATATTCAGCTAAAAAAATTCTTACCGAAGATCCAGACCAGCTTCTTTCCAAAGGAGGTCCATCAAACGTAAAATCTGGAGTGTCAGCATATCTTGCCGTAGATCTGTAGGACAGAAAATGCTACTATAATAGAATAATTTCCAGTTTTTTGAATTATTGGGAATTAAATCAGCCAGTACTCAATTACATCAACATATATATAGCAATCATTATGCCAACTCAAAGAACAGGTTCCAACCAAATATTCAATCAATCCTAGAGGTTAAGTGAGGTTAGCACAAAAATCATAGTTCTTCAGATAAATTGGTACTTAAACTAGTTTCTATGGGATAGATATGTTTATTGGTTGCCTGCTTGTTAAAGCTGCAGAGGTCTAAGAGAAAGATATGGTAATAAAAAGCGTATAGATACATTCAAAGAAAAATTACAACCAAAAAAAATACCTCAGTAGCTCTTACCATCACCATTTTTAAAAATGATCCCTACAAAATCCCCTCCAAACATCTTATTGTTGTATACTATCCATAAAGGTTTCATTTTAGAATCCATGTATTTACACCTCTCAATGCTGTAGAAAAACATAACAAGAAAAACATAATATTTTTTACTTAGTTAAGTAAGCTCTTCAACTCCAAGAAATCAAATACGATTATGAAGCAAGATAGTTTTAGAGTTCCCACTGGGAATTATTTGATGGATAAATTGAATATCATTCCTAACTTTCATTTTGCTAATATGATATTAGTTGTAACAGGCAAATTTACATGGCATCCATTATAGTTAACACACCAAATACACATCCATAGTTTTCGTAGACAATATATTACCTGCTTTTTATCTGCCCTAAGCAAATTATATATAGATTTGTTCTCATTTAACTACTAAGCATTGTTTCAATGTCTTATATAAGTTTATTGTGAACAGAAGCCAAAACTGTAGTCTAATTCACATTTTAGGTTTAAATATATTTAAGTAGGAGGTCAAATAGATATCTTGCTCATGAAGAGGCAGAGTTTTAAGCTGGATCATGAAAAAATTTCAAATTCAAACTAAAATTGACATTTTAATCTCAAAAAGCAGCAGTTTGATCACATAGCTAGGAAGATGCCAGACTGAACTTCTCCTACCCTTGACCATGTAATCTGTGTCAGCATGGCTGCTGAACAGCAAAGCCAGTAGACGTCAAACTGCATAAGCCTTCTGCTTTACTGTTTCCATATATGAGTTATGTTTAAAACAAATAAGATCACTCTTCACTTACTGTAGTTCTGAGAGTATAACAGAAGGATTCAAAGGAGATTGAAGGTCAGAAAGTGCTTCTCTGTAAGCATTTTGTTTCAAGCAGGTGTGCATTGCATCTTTTCCTTTTGCTTTGCTTTGCTTCATGGCATTCAGTTTTATTAGTCCATTTAAGGTTTTCATCTTATTAAGGGCTTCCACCTGAAATAGGTTTTTTAAGTATTAACTCATTAGCTTTAATAATTAAAACCATCTGGAGTCCATATATAAAAATAGAAAAACTCACTTTCAAATTACAAAGCAAGTTTGAACACTTGGTTTAAATAGTAAAAAAGCTAGCTAAGCCTAACAAGAGTTTAAAGTCTCTTTCAAAAGAATATGAAAAATTGCAGTGAGGATGCCATTTTTGAAAAAAGTCATAATATAAAATTTTCAGAAGTACTTATGTGTCTTAGAAGTATAAATCCAATTTTCAAAAGCACAATATAGGCACTTAGGAGATGAAGTCCCACACACTTTCAATAATATATTGAATTATTATTAATTTTAATAATACTGTATGACACAGAAGGGTAATTATGCAGGAGTTCTGTCTTCAGGATCCAAAAAGTTTTATATAAAAGAGGTTAGTCCAACATTTTCCAACTAGGCAGCAAAAATTAAGCACCTATATCCATTCTGAAGTCAGTGTACGAAAAGGGCATTTAGCACCACCACGGAGGAAAGGGGATATTTTGAGACTAAATATGGATTCAAGCATTTCACTTTATAGATTCAGTTTTAACTGGCTTATATCAGCTCAGTAGAATCATACAATATATTAAGCACATAACTTGAAACACTTAAATCAAGTCAGGGTAGATACTGGCTTAACAGAATTCTGAAAAGCTACTCCCCTGCACAACTCATAACAATAAACTCTTGAAATCAATGCACTCATTGCACTAACATGGGATTTATCTTGTTCCATATTCATATCTTCACTGAAAATGCTAAAGCTGTGTCCCACAGAAGTTAATGGGAGTTAGCTACCAATTCCAATGCAACTAGAATTTCATTCTATTGCATTTATTTAAAATTAATCACTATAATTTATTTAAGAACTCACCAGCCCTACAGATAAGGTATACTGTAGCTCTGTAGCAAACTCAATAAAAGCAAGTAAGATTTTTATTTTCTAAAATTCTTATTGTAGTGACATTTTAATGCAACAAGGGACAAGTGAAAATGCTTTCTAGATGAGAAGTGCTAGATGGCTAAAATCAAAGTATGTGCTTAATTTTAAAAACATCAGTATCCCAGTTTACTTAATTGATTTTTCTAGTACATCAATTCAGGCCCATCAGAAATGAAGCATTATTATTTAAAAAAACTACTTTTAATTTTACAACTTGTAACGAGACATTTATAATCAATATGTACTGAATTATGCAAGTGCTTTTTTCCCCCATCTGTTCGTTAAATTATTAACTACATAGCTATAAACTCTCCTAAGAAATACAGCTACAGTGACGTTTGAGGACTTCATATTAATGAAGTAAGGCCCTTTGAATATGCTGTGTAGGTTTGCCACCAGGTAACTAAACTATTAACTGGTGGTTACTGATTATAAAACGGACCTTATATTTTCATCCTATCTAGAAAAGCCGTTTATAGATTACCAAGACTAACTGGGTTCAATACTTCAATTACTGACTATACACACTATTTCACATGTGTAACAATTAATTTTTGTTCAAGGAAATTCAACCTTATCTTTAAGATGAGTTAAAACTTATCTATATATAAACTCAACCCTGTCAGGCAGGATGCTGTGGAAATTGTATGCAGTTTGATTCTAGAACTGAGGCAATGGAGACCTGCCAGGTCAACCATCTGTCAAAATTAAAAGCACTCTGAGTTTCTACCATTCCAGGAGCTGTACAAACATCAGTGACAAGGGAACAAAATGAAACCTGTGCTGCACAAACAGGAACTTTTTGAAGTATTTCTATTTTGAATTTCTTCCGTGTTTGCACAGTTGGGAATTTTTTTGCCCCTTCTTTGATTGTGTTGACATTTATTTCCTGAGAACTATACAAAAAATTTGACTGACCTTAAGTCTATCGTTTAAAACGTTTCATCGCTTACCATGTTTCTTTTTTAAATGATTTTGACAATGCTAAACAAAGCACATTTATGTAAGAAATAGCCAACTTAATGCTCTGATAGTAGCACTAAGAGAAAAGAACAATCGTATATTCCTCCCATTTGCACTGGGGAGCAGCTATAATTCAGATACAATCAGAACTTTAAGAAGCTACTGTGACCAGACAAAATTTCTAATGGGATTTCTTTTTGCAGCTTCCTTTCTCACTTCACATATTTATTATGTCAATAAAGATACTGGACAGATATTACCTCTCTCAGAAATCTAACAGTCTTACATTTAAGCTACACAACTGTGACAAAGTATTCTAAGCAGGTTTTTTAACAACTGCTGGCAGAGGATTAATCGAAAAGAGATGTATGTTTAGAAGTGCACCTTACTTCTCCTTTTACCTGGCATCTCTATACTGATCAAAAGTGACATTGATTTTTAATACTCCTTACAGTGATGCCCATACAATATGTAATTAAGGAATTATTCCAGGTGGCCTAATAAAGCAACAGTTTGACTTATTTCTGACAAAAGCCAAAGCTGCAGTATGTGATCTATCAAGTCCATTATTTCACTTACACTGTTCACCCCTGCTAGCAAATATCATATATAGGTGAATGGCTGTCATGTCAGACAGCTTCCCTCCTCCTCAGACTTCCCACTGTTGGCTGCTTCTTGTACCTGTATCCCTCAGATCAGTTTCTCTCTCTTTCTACTAGCTTTTCAATTCTTTTTCACAAAGAAATAAACCTCCAACTGAGCCCAGTACCATTGATGGGACATGCACTTTGACCTGAAGCCTAGAAAAACTAAAGATATTTAAATAAATCAATACCTGCTTGGAAAGCACCTTCATGTGAGCAACACTTCCTCGGCAGTAAGCTTCAAGTATTAAACCAAATTGTACTGAAACTGCAGGTATGTGCACCTCTGACCTGTGGGAAGCATCATATGAAAGAAGAAAAGATTGTAAGATAGACTGTATTCACTGTATAGTTATGAGACTCACAGAACAGGAAGGGACATCAAGGGT